ATTTTCTCCTCCTCAGTGGCTGATAGAGCAAGCACAAATTTTCATCCTTTTCATTTGAACTTCTCTGTGTCTTTGTATGTAGAGTCTCTCATTAACAGAATATAATTTTTAAAAAATCTGGTCTGACAATTTTTGATGTTTTACTTGGTGTATTTAGTTCATACTGAGTTGACCTTTTATCTGCAATTTTAACTCTTTCTTTTCCACTTGATGTTATCTTTTCATATTCTGTTTTTCTCCTTCATTGCCTTCTATTGGATTCATAAAATAAATTTTAATTTTTGGGTATTTTTCTATTAACTTGTTAGTTATACATTAGTTTTCTACTTTCTAAATGATTACCCTAGCAATGACAACATGTATCCTTGACAATCAAATGTAAATGATTAGTTTTCTACTTTCTAAATGATTACCCTAGCAATGACAACATGTATCCTTGACAATCAAATGTAAATGATTACTATGACCTCTTTCATGGTCATGTTGAAACCTTGCAACCTTGTCTTTTGGTTTCTGTCATTTCTGTTGAGAATTCAGTTGTCAATTTCTTTTTTTTTTTTTTTTTTTGAGATGGAGTCTCGCTCTGTCACCCAGGCTGGACTGCAGTGGCACAGTCTCGGCTCACTGCAAGCTCTGCCTCCCAGGTTCACGCCATTCTCCTGCCTGAGCTTCTCCGAGTAGCTGGGACTACAGGCGCCTGCACCATGCCTGGCTAATTTTTTGTATTTTTAGTAGAGATGGGGTTTCACTGTGGTCTCAATCTCCGGACCTTGTGATTTGCCCGCCTTGGCCTCCCAAAGTGCTGGGATTCTAAGCGTGAGCCACCACGCCCAGCCTTTTTTTTTCTTCTCCTGGTTGACTTTAAGCTTTATCTCTTTATCTTTGGTCCTAACGTTGTTGCAGTGCTGTGCCTTGTGTGGCTTTCTTGTTTGTCTTGCTTTGTGTTTGTATAATTTCTTGAACCTGTGGGTAGATGTGCTTCAGCAGCTTTGGACAATCCGTGGTCATTAGTTTTGTAAATATTGCTTCTCCCCTGTCTCGGTCCATTCCAGCTGCTCTAACAAAAATATCACAAACCAGGTGGCTTATGAATAACAGAATTTATTTTTCATAGTTCTGGAGGCTGGGAAGCTCAAGAGCAAGGCATATTGGCTGAGGATCTGCTTTCTGGCTCCTAGACGCCTTCTTGCCCTGTTCTCATGTGGTGGAGGGGCTGAGGGGTGTCTCTGGCATTTCTTTCGCAAGGGCACTGATCCCATTTGTGAGGCTCCACACTCATGACCTAATCACCTTCTAAAGGCCCCATTTCCTAATGCCATCACTTTAGGGGTTAGGATTTCAACACAGGAATTTGGATGGGACAGGGGACACAAACATTCAGACCATAGCACCCCATTCCATTTCTTCTCCTTCTAGATTCCAGTTACAGGTATGTTTGACCATTTCAGTGTGTCCTATACTTTTCTGGCTCTCATGTCTATATTTTCCATTCTTCTTATCTGTTTTAAATTTTCTATATTTCTATTACCTATCCTTCAGTTTACTAACACTGTCTTCAACTGTGTCTAATCTCTTGAGTTCCTAATTTTAGTTATTTTGTTTTCCAGATCTAACATTTCCATTTGATTGTTTGTTATAGTTTCCAGTCCTCTGGCAAAATTATCCATTTTCCATTTATATTCTCTGTCCTTTTGCTCTTATTTTGAATATATTAGTCAGGGTTGTTCTAAAGTCCTTGTTTAATAATGCCTAGATCTGGATCATGTGTAGGTATGTGTCTCTTTTTTTTCTCATGTGTTTATATTTTATTTTTCCTCTTTGTTGTTAATCAGAGTCCTTTTTTATTTTACACCTTCTAAGTTTTGATTGGATGTCACACATTGCCTATTAAAAGAATATAGAGTACAGAGTTTGAAAAAATAAAAATAAAAGAGTGTAGAGGCTCCAGATGGCTTCCATTTTCTCTCCCAGGCAGCCAGACTGAAATCCGAATTAAGCCAAGTGAGGGCAGGTTGTAGTTTTCATAAGGCTCATCTGAGCTATGGCTCTGCCCTGCTCTTAGGTTTTGTGCCTTCCTGGGCTTTCAGCCAGAGCCTGGTGTGATCACTGGGGATCCTCTTCCTGGAGGACCTTGAACTCAAATCTTTGTTCCTTAGCATCTGAGACTGTGCAAGACTCCTCTTTGGTTTTCAGCGTGGGTTTTTAAAATCCCACCTCTCTTACCTTCAGAATTTGGCAAATGTCTTAAGGGAAGGACTGGGCATTTGGGGCATTTGTTCATTTTAGTTCTTTACCTGTCTCTTCTGGAATCTTGGCCTCTCAAGTTTCTTTCTCTTACCCAAATCTCTGCAGCTTCCTCCGTGCCTCAGCAACGGCTCTCTGTCTGGGAAGACTCCAGATTCCCAGTCTCTTGACCCATGCGCAGAATGCAAATACGCTCGGAGGCTGTGCTGCGGAGGCCAGCTCCCGTCTTGGCAGCCCCTCCTCTGGAATGTTGGCTTGCGGCTGCACACTGATTCCTTCACACACATTGCATGTGGTATCAGACTTCCTGAGCAGTGCATTGGTCAGCTGCTGGCCACTGCACCCACCAAGCCGCCTTCGCCTTCCATGCTTTGTGGTGTGCATATTCCGCACCCCAGAGCCAAGAACAGAGGCTTCTCTGTGTCCTTGTAATGCATTTACATTTTAAAGATCAAGTTCTATATCTAGCTTTATTTTTCCAATATGGAGAGAGCCAGTTGTCCTGTACTGATCTTACGTCATTCCCTAAATTGCTGCCTTTTTCTTTAATGTGTGTGTATGTGTGTGTGTCTGCTTGTGGACACGCTTAGTCTGTTCACGTGTCATTTCTAGACTTTGGAAATTATTGTAGCTCTAGAGGATATATGATAGCTGGTAGGGGATGTTTCCCCTCTTTGTTGTCATTTTTCGAAATGTTCTTGTCCTGCCAAATTCCGTTGAATGTCCTGTTGGAATATTTTGCTTATTGGAATTGCACTGACTTTATATAGCTAAATTTGGGGAGAACTGGAAATTTTGCACTGTTGAGTATCTGCTTTTCATCAATATTTTCTTAATCTCGAAGTATTTCTGATTTCAGTACTTGGGATTACTGAGTCAAAGGATACAGACCTTCCTAAAGGTCCAGGCCGTGCTGCAGAATGGCTGCCTAGAAACCTTGCGGGATTTGTGCTCTAGCCAGGGACTCGTGAGTTTGCCTGTTCCTCTCTCCATCCCGGCTGGAATGTCCTAGACTTTTTCCAGTTTTGAAAGTGCAGGGATTTTCAACACAAGGAAACACAGATTCTCAGAGGTCATCCCTCCATCCACGCTGGCGGCCACTCCTGGCTGTGAGGAGAAGAGAGAGTTGGCAGAAGCACTCTGGAGTGTAGACGTGGCTGCACCTTGTGGCTCTGAGGGGCTGTGGTGTAGCCGGCATGAGTCTAGCCACATCAGGAACTTGTCCCCACTTAGTCATAGGGTGCCCTGGCACTTCCTCCTCTCCTGTAGCCTCTGGAAGAGCTGTTTGCCTGAGGGACAGCCCCGCCCCACATCCAGCCTGTTCTGCAGAGCAGTTCTGGGGATCCTGGGGAGTGGCCTGGGTGGAATCTAGGAGTTCAGCATCTGCCTTGGTCCCAGGCTCGCTGTGCCCCCTTTCCTTCTGCAGACAGAGCCCTCCTGCTCTTGATCCTGGCGCTTTCAGGGGCAGCCCAGAGGGGCTTGTCCCTTCTTCACAGCTACGAGGCTGGGGCAGTGTAAGACGGGGGCTTTTGGCCAGATTCTCCCAAGGGTGGCACTTATGGATGGGGACGACCAGGCAGAAGGTCGCCTTTTCATGGAATGTCAGTGTGGAAGGGTTTCAAGGAGGCCACCTAGCCTTTGCTCTACTTGGATGCCTCTGGTGATGTGGGACTCACCACTGAGCGGGCACCCTAGAGCGTTTAGATACCAATTGGCGAAAACCTCTCATGTCAGGTTGCATTAATTCTGTTTCATGGAGCTCTGGCCATTCCTGTAACCAATAGCTCTGTCCCGAGCCTGTCCCTGTCCCTGTGCCCAGGAGCCCCATCCTTCAGGCCCCAAGTCCCACGGGGGAAGCAGCAGCATCTGACTGGTCAGCCTGGAAAAACCTTTTGCAGTGGCTGCTTCGTCACTGTTTTGTGGGGAGTTTTCATCAGCCTTCCTCAGAGTCCCAGCGCCCGAGAGGCCAAGTCATTTTGGAGTTCCTGACCACCACCCTGTCATTTCGCAGACGGTAAACTGAGGCCCAGGAAGCTGAGTCACACCGCTGGGGTAAAGGCAAGGCTGAGGCTGGTCCCCCAGCCCTGGCTTGTACTGAATTTCCCATGACTCGCGGGCTGCTCCTCCTCAATGGGGCTCAGGAGTGTTCCTCGCCTCCTTCTGCGTGAATTACCAGCAGGAAATTGGGCTGAAAATGTTGGATTTTGTTCCATTGCTTGAGGCTGTCTGTCCTGTTCATTTCTGAGTAAAGTTCTCTTTCTTGCTAATCCAGAGACCATGCTACTGCTGATGTGGCTATCAGCTGGTGCTTGGTGCAGAGGGTGTGATGGGGCATTCTGGAACACTGTTCCATTTTAAAGCATCCTTGACATGCTGATCTGGAGCCAGCACTGGCTCTTGGGGACTGCACGGACCTGTCATGGAGCCCACCAGGGCCTGCATCTGCAGGGGAAGACCCTGCTTGGGGAATTTGCCATGGGTGTGAAGGCCACCTTCATGTTCACACCCAGGTCGCTCTGTTCCTTTTGTTGGGTTCCAGCTTCCCCAGGCTTGTGAAACCGGCTTCCACTGGTCCCGCTGGGCTCCTGCTTTCTAGAATTATCTGTGTTGTCCCCTCTCCTTGTGGATTCCACCCCATGCATGTGTCACGTGGGGGCTTTGGAGTGGAGTGGAGAACTGTGGCTTCAGCTGCAGCCAGAGTGCCTGTCCTGCCTCTTCGGATATTGTTTCTAATTCATGTTTCCCTTTTTTCCAAGGTGTTTCCCCGCACACTGGGACTCCCACTACTGCAAAGAGTGACCCACGAAGGCCACAGCGATGGCTGGGGCTTCGGTGAAGGTGGCGGTGCGGGTCCGCCCCTTCAATTCCCGGGAAATGAGCCGCGACTCCAAGTGCATCATTCAGATGTCTGGAAGCACCACCAGTGAGTATCGGCCTGCACGGCATCGAGGTCGACCACGGGTTGCTGGGGGCCGTGGTCCTGTGCCTACGGGCCAGGCTCCGTGGTCAACCTGGCCCCAAGAGCAGTGTCCACCTCCTTGTCTATGTGGTGTGTAGGTGTCCTGGGGCTGCTGTGACAAACTGCCACCAGTGGTAGTGGGTTTATAAGAGTAGAGATTTACGCTCACAGCTGTGAAGGCTGGAAGTCCAAAGTCAAGGTGCCAGCAGGGCCTCACTCTCTCTGAGCTCCTAGGAAGGACCATTCCTGCCTTCTCTGGGATCTGGTGGTTGCCAGCCACCTTGGCTTGCAGCAGCGTCGCTCTAGTCTCTGCTTTCGTCGTCACATGGCCTTCTCCTCTGTGTGTCTGTGTCTCTGCTTTCATATGGCTTTTTTTATAAGGACACTCGTCACTGGGTTTGGCTTTCTTATAAGGACACCCATATGTTTCCCCACATATCCAAACCATATCAGCATCTTGGAGCAAGAACCAATTGTCATCTCTCCGTTCTGTGGCTGGCTGGGCTCAGCGGGGCAGTTTGTGCTGGGGCCTCTGCTGCAGTTGCAATTGCTGCTGCTGTCACAGGATCAAGTAGTGTCAGCTGCACTGAGTGGTGACATGAGCAGCCACCTGGTCTTCGGGATGTGGACAGTGACAGCCTCCCCATTCACAGGTGCCGTGCACCTGTCCAACATCTACCAGGTGGGGAGGGGGGTGCCCCAAGGGGAGGACACTCAGGTCCCAAGGAAGCTTCCTCCCCAGGTTTGGTCTCCGAGGCCTGCTCAGGGACTGGAGATTCAGGTGTCACTGGGAGTGTTCTGGGCTCTGTCAGGTCCTGTGGAAGTGAGGGCTCTGCTCGGACCCTCTGTCTGGCCTAGGGGTGATCCTTCCAGAAGCCTGTGGAGCTCTGTGGCTAATCATGGTGCAGTAGGCAGGCTGGGGAGACCCTGCTAAACTCCAGGGTATGGGGGCTGCTGCGGCTATGGGACCCCAGTGCACTTTGGGGTTGCATCCTGACTGTTCATTATGGTGAATTGTTTTGTCTGCTTGGTCCCTGGAAGCAAATCCAGAGATGAGGATTTGAGCGCCAAGAGTTTATTTGGGAGGTGGTCCCAGGACGCATGGTGGGAGAGTGGGGAGTTTGTGGGGAGCTGACAGAGGTGCATTTGTAAGAGGGTGACCTCCGTGGCCGGGGGCCTGGCCTTGCTGGGGCCCTCGAACGAACACAACGCACCTCCGGGTTGTCCTGCCCAGGAAGGTGAGTGCTCCTCCAACAATGCTCGCTGCGTTAGCTGACTGCAGCCCTGGCCTTTTGTGATCGGAGAAATTGCTCAGGCGGCAGGACCCTTGTCTTTAAGTGGGAAGCCTCGGGCTGTGCAGAGCTGTGACTCTGGGTGCGAAATGTGACCTCAGGTGCGAACCACGGCTCTGGGTGTGAACTTCGACTCCAGGTGGGAACCATGACCTCTGGTGAGCACTGTGGCCCTGGGTGGGCAGAGGGCGCCTGTGCCACGCCCCAGCGGGCTCTGCTGTGTCATTGTAAGGTGACCCAGGATATCAGGGAGGGCCCTGTGAATCCCCTTCCATCCTCCACTGAGTGACAGCAGCACAGTTGCCACCTCAGTCTTGCATGTGGGTCATGGGGAGCTCCATGGTTGGCACAGTGACAAGAATCAGACCCGTCGAGCAGCTGAAGACCACCGGAAGCAGAGTGGTTGGAAGAACAAAGTCTCAGAGATGGGATCCTCCTGCCCCTGAACCTTGGGAATGGCCCAGCCTCAGGCCAGACCCTAAATGACAGGGTTAGGCAGTTGGGCGGGTTGGGATGGGTGTCACAGAAGTGACGGCCAGGGTGGGCGAGGAGCCCCTTTGTAGCCTCTGACCTGCTCCCTGGCCCGGCCTCCAGGTGCACTGGGTGGGCGGCTGCCCCATTTTGCATTTCCTCTCATAGGATTCAGAAATGGGAGGGTGCAGTCTGGAGGTGAGCCAGCATTGCCAAGACCTCGACACTGGCAGCACTGCCCACCTGGTGAAAGGTTGTCTGGCTGAGGCTGTGCTGGCCCAGACCCCACAGAGCTGCCGGTTCAGAGACAGCAGCGAGGCCAGCGAGGTTGAAACCTGAAGCGAGACGCCCTGCTTCAGATGCTTGGATCCTGTCCTACCCTGAAGACATTGGAGCTCTGGGATTTTGCCTGTGTGCCAGCAGCCTCTGCTCCGAGCAGAAGTCCAGGCAGGCCAGGGAGGTCAGGAGGGGAACGCAGGAGCCTCTACACTTTTTTTTTGGCAACTGTTAGGTCCTGAAGGAAACTCCCCTTCTCAAAGGTGAACACATGCAAGACACCAACCTCTTCCGAGGTGCTGATCTTCCAGGGATCACCAAACTCGATCAAACATCTGCGGAGTTGCAGCAAAGTTCTGAAACCAAGGAGGAGGGACAGGCCGTGGACCCAGAACAGGGTGGAGAGCCCGCCAGGGTGTTTCCTCCAGGACACCTGGAATGTTTCAGACGTCGTCACTTTCATCCTCGGGAAAATGAAGAGCCACAGAGCCAAGACAACACATGAGATCAGTGTCCTGCCCACTGTAGCCAACGACGCACCAAGAAAGTCAGGGCCCCGGGTCGGCCCACTTGTAAAAGGCAGGTTGTGAGTGTGGCAGGGACAGGCACCCAGGCCACTGGCGGGGGGCGCGGCCTGGTGATGGATATCAGACGTGTGATGCCGACCTCACCAGGCTGCTTGTGTGAAATGCAGCGAAGATTATCCAGCAAGTGTTCAAAGGTGTGCATTTGAGACGTTCACCCTGGTGCTGTTTTACCAAGCCTGGGACAACTGCCCAAATGCCTGCCAGCTGGGAGCTGCTGAAGGGATGTTAAGTCTGTCCCAGCAGTGGACTCGAGTGCTCCTGAAAGCTTTGTGCTTACAGCCTTGGGAAAATACCACACAATGTTGTGGGGAAGGGGGCAAAGGTCAGCACAGAGCCCAAGAGTGAGACTATATGTAGGTAAAAGGCAGATGGGCACTCGCTGCAGGTCCTGTGTGCACTGGATATGCGTGTGCGTGGGAGACAGCGAGGTGGGGTGAGGGAAAAGAGTGGCAGGAGAATGAATAATCAGGAAAAATCTCTAGCAAAGCTTTTTTCATTTTGGAGGAAGCAAACCAGTGGTGGTTTTGGAAGAAAGTGCTGGAAGCTATGTCAGAAATCTGTATGAAGGGCTGAGGGAGCTCAGCAGAGAAGGATGTCCCCTGGCCCTGGTGCAGGGAAGCCTGCTGGAGGAAGGTGGTCATGGGCTTTTCTCCTGGTGGCTGAGGGACCAGGGTGTTCCAGAGGGTTGACCCGCCCCAGAACATGCAGACAGGGCATGAGAGGGTGTGGGTGGATACCCAACTGCCGGAAGCACTCACAGGAGCCACTGTCCCTGGTGACTTCTCAGCTGCTGCTCAGATCGATAGAACCGGGAGTGGCTTCCCTGGCTGGTGTGCCAGGCCCCTTGGAAGATGGTGGGGGTTGTGCCAGGCCCCTCAGAGGATGTCATGGGGAGGTGACCTGGCCAGCCTGCCCTGCCTGCCTGGTATAGCTGCTGACTGTTCCTAGAATCTCAAAACATGAGGAGAGGCCCCACTCTCTAAAGCGTGCCTTGTAGCTCCGCTGTGATGCAGAAATTAGAAGCATTTGAAAGTAAATTTAACTGTTATCCTGTAATCATCACCTGTATAAATAATCCTCTTCATTTGAACACACCAAACCTAGCAGTTTTGTGAGCTGGCCTAGCTGCCCATTAGGTGCACTTTGGTCTGGCCTGGTCAAGCTGGTGTGGGTTGGCCTGGGGTCAGAACTTGAGTGTGAGTGCTTCTGTCCTCCTCCTGTCTCCTCACGTCACATTCTCTGCCCTGAGGACTGGAGGACATGAGGGCCCTGAGCCTGCCCAGCCATTCTGCAGATGCTGGAGGCTGGCTGGGGACGCGGACCCTCAGCCATGTGCAGCCCCTGAAGTGAGTTCCTGGAGTGAGGGGCCTGGCTGCACTCATGACTTACTCACTGTGTGACACTGGCTAGATGGCATACCTTTGGGCCTCCGTTTCCCTGCCTGTGAGGTAGTGAGGGGTGGTGCTGGGTACTCCCTGAGATCCCCAGTCATTTCTATATTCTTCTGGCCATGCAGAGGAGGCCCAGGGTTGGGGTGGCCTCTCATCCCTGCCCTCGCCCACAGGTGGGGACTTGGACCCAGGGTGGGTGTGACTGGCTTCCACTGTGGGCTCCCCCAATCCTGAGCAGTCAGGGAGCTGGACAAGCCCCTCCACACGGGCAGCAGTGGCAACCATATGGTCCCTGGGGCTGCTGTTACAAAGGGTTACGTACTGAGTGGTTTCAAAGGACAGAAATGTCTCCCCTGTTGTGGAGGCCAGACTCCGAGGTCCAGGCGCGCTGCAGAGTGGGCGTCTTAAACAGCAGATGCTCCCTTCTCAGCGGTCTGGAGGCGGAAGTCCAATCAAGGCGCCGCAGGTCTGCATTGTGAGAGGGCTGTTTTCCCAGCCTGCAGACGCTGCCTTCCTGCTGTGTCCTTGCCTGGCCCAGGGAGCTCGGGTCCCTTCCCCTCCTTTAAAGTCACTCATCCCACCATGAGGTCCCCGACTTCGTGGCTTCGTCTCACCCTCATCACCAAACAAGGCCCCATCTCCAAATGCCATCTGGTTGGGGGTCGGGGCATTGCATATGAATCTGGGGACATGCTCGGCCCACAGCAGGCTCCGTCAGGGAGAGCCAGCTCAGCTCAGCCCTCACACCTGGTGCTCAAGGCCGCAGGGACGCTGAGACTCTGAGAAAAGGGCTGTGTTCCATTCCTTTCCTGTCCCGCTTCCTCCAGCTCCCCCACTCCTCCCTCTACCCCTTCCCCTGTCTCTGTTGTCTCAGCGTCCAGCCCTTTGCAGGCCCATGCAGAGCCCTGGGAAGGCTGCCTGATACTGGGCACCTCGCCGGCCTCGGAGGGGCCCAGCTCTGGGGGCCTGGCCAGAGCCGGGGGCGGGAGGAGATGGGGGCCCTAAAGGGGCTGGTTGAGGAGCCCAGCCCAGCAGGCCCCGGGAGGACCTGTTTCTCCCTCCTCCTTCTTCAAACCTGCACAAGGAAAAAATTCCAGACCCTGGCAAAAAAAAAAAAAAAAAAAAAAGCTCTTTCTCCAGAAGAATTGGGGAGGTCTCTATGAGAAGCAGGCTGCTGAAAGAGGGACTGCCTGTCTCCACAGGCCTGGCGGACCTCAGGGCTGGGAGGTGTTGCGGGGACCCTGCCTTCCAGTCTGGCTGTGTGTCGTGTGACCTGGGGAGAGGACCTCCCCTCTCTGGAGCTTGGGGCCCATCTGTAGTGACAGAGGATGGTTCCTAGTCACAGCACAGGGTGTGGGGAGGGTGGCAGGGCCAGGGTGGGGTGGGGTCCCAGCCACAACACAGGCCTGGGAGGGGATGGATCAGGGCAAGAGTGGGGTGGGGGTCCCGGACACAATACATGGCCTGGGGGTGGGGTTGGGGACAGGGTAGGGTGGGGGTCCCAGCCACAATACAGGGCCTGGGATGGGGGTGGAGACAGGGCCAGGGTGGAGTGGGGGTCCCGGTCACAACACAGACCTGGGAGGGGTTGGGGCCCAGGCCATTTATAGCTGTGACTGGGCCCCACTCCTGCCACTCACCCATGCTGCCCTCTGTCCCCCACCTACCTGGCATTCCTTGGGTACCACCTGTGCCCTGTCCTGGGGACCCCCACCTCATAGAGCTCATGGCCCATGTGGGGTGTGGCACCAGGGCTTCATCTGAGCAAGGTTGGCCTCCAGGGCTGGACAAGGAGCAAGGGCTAGTGGGGGTGTGGGGATGGGGTCCCAGCCTGTGCAAGGAGCCCGACCTGGGTGCAGCGGGGTGAGGCGAGGGGGTGGATGGGGCAGGAAGGGGTGTGGGGATGGGGGCCAGGCCTGTGCAAGGAGCCCGACCTGGGTGCAGCGGGGTGAGGCGAGGGGGTGGATGGGGCAGGAAGGGGTGTGGGGATGGGGGCCAGGCCTGTGAGGGGAGCCGGGCCCAAGTGCAGCAGGGTGAGGGGATGAGGTGGACGGGGTGGTTGTTGCTGGCTTGAGCAAGGGGTCCCAGGCCTCTCTGTCAGAGCTGGGAGGCCCAGCCGGGCTGCGCTCAGGAAGGCGCTGCAATTGTTTCCACAGGGCTGGTTGATCCGTGCTGGGGTTCCGGAGGTGGCACCACGGGTGTCGTTGCCTGGGTCCTGGCCGTTGCCTGGGTCCTGGCCGTTGCCTGGGTCCTGTAAGGTGTTGAAGTCAGGGCAGCTCAGCCTCCTCTCTGCCTCTGCTCCTGGACAGCACGGACGTGGCCTCTCTCACCTCCGAGGATAGGGCTGTGATGGTCAGTCCCTGGCTCCCTCCTGCTGGCTGCCCAGGGTGCCTGGGTGTTTCCTGGAAATCCTCAGGCCAGGGATGGGGGTCCAGGTGGGACCTGAAGTTGGATCTGCCCTGGGGACAGGGCTACCAATGATGTCTGTGCTGTCAGCAGGACACTTGGCCAAAGAACACAGCCCAGGTGCCTGCCCGCAAGACCACTGAGTCTGGGGCAGCAGCAGAGTGTGGACAGGCAGAGGGGGTCTCAGGGCCCCGAGCTGCCATAAGGAAGCACCACAAACAGAGGTGTACTATCTTGTGATTCTGGAGGCCAGAAGTCTGGTCTGAGATCAAGGTGGTGGCAGGGGTGGCTGTTCCTGAGCCATGAGGGGCACTTGTCCAAGCCCTCCAGTTTCTGGGGCTGGCCGGCTGCTTCTGGCATTCCTAGCTTGTCATCACCCTGATCTCTGCCCTCGTGTTCTCATGGCACCCTCCCTGTGCACATCTGTCTCCAAATCTCCTGTTTTATAAGGACATGGCAGCACTAGATTAGGGCCCATCTTCATGGAGTAGGACCTCATCTTAACTAATTACATCTGCAGCAACTTTATCTCCAAATGTGATCCTATTCTGAGATACTAGGGCTAAAGACTTCAAAATATGAAATTGGGGGAGAGGGACACAGTTTAACTCATAACTGGAGTATTTTGTTCTCCGTGGTCCTGGTGGCAGGTTCCCAGGGTGCATGCTGGCATGGAGGGTGCGGGCATCCTGGAGGCTGTGCCGCTGGCCCCCAGCCCACGTTGGCTGAGAAAAACCAATCCGGGGCAGACAGAGCCTCATCTCCAGCCTTCATCTGCAAGCATGGGATGGTGCCGTGAGGGTTTCATTCTTCGGGTTTGCTGATGTGATGGTGATGGTCTCCAGGGGCTGCCTGACCAAGATTGACCAGTGTTCCTCCTGGGGGTGAGAACCTGGGAGGGGACTGCCTCAGGCCTCCAGGCCTCTGTCAACACTGATTCTGGGCTCAGACAGTGTTCCAGGGGGAAGCAGGTCCTGTCCTTCTGGCCACCGAGGACCCACAGCCTGCAGGGTCCAGACCTGTCCAGGGCCAGGGAAACGCTGGGAGCAAGGATGGAAGGTGGCGGTGGGCGTGCTGCATCCCTGAGACACCTGCAGGCTGTGTGGGTGGGAGGAGCTCCTGGGACACTCACACTGGGACAGCTCCTGGGAAATCCCCCAGGCACCGGCTGTGGGCAGCGACATCATCACATGTTCATGGATTTGTTCTGGGTTTGATGAACAGACATTCTGCGAGCACTGCCTGAAGCCAGCCCAGGGTGCCTGGGACTGGGCTTGAAATTGGGTGGAGGAGGGAGGGGGAGGAGGGCCTCTGGCAGAAGACAGTCCCATAGAGCTCTGTTCAGAGTAGCAAGCCTAGAAGAACCACACGGGCATGACACAAACGTGATGGACGTCCAGGCTTCCAGCACTTCTCAGGCACGTGCATGCTGAGCCCGAGCGGAAAGGCCTGGGCAGGGGGCAGGGCAGGGCAGGGCAGGGGCTGTGAGCCCAGGGTGGACTCCAGAGATGGAGGGGCTGCAGCTTGCAGGTGGGAAGGATCCTCCCTGGGCAGCTGCCTTTGAGGGGAGCCAGTTGGACTTTGCGGGAAAAGGACGCAGAGCCTTGCAGGCTGATACGGTGGTGCCCTCGGGCATGTGTATGTGGCAGGGCCCACCATGAAGAGGGGGTAGAGACAGGTCGTCTGCCTGGGAGTGAGGTCCTAGGTCCCCTCCAACTTGGGGGCCTGGCTTGTCGGGGGCCCAAGGCCTCTCAGGACGACCTCCCAACCTTGGACTGTAGATGCCGGCTAGTCAGGGTCCCTCTTAGCACAGCGCTGACCACCTGTGTTTCCTCCCGCAGCCATCGTTAATCCCAAACAGCCCAAGGAGACGCCCAAAAGCTTCAGCTTTGACTACTCCTACTGGTCGCACACCTCGGTAAGCGGGGACCCTGGGTCGGGGGAGGCGGGGCAGCAGTGTGCAGGCCATGTGGCCCTCAGGGTCCCTCAACCTCTCTGAGCCGCTCATTCCTCTCTAACTGGGGCGAGGACCCCACCGTGCTCCCCTGCGAGGTCACCCTGAGCGGCCCATGCAGGGTCCCCAGCGAAGGCAGTGATGGAGGCTGCAGGGACTGAGGGGCCTTCAGCACCCTGTGGGTAGTTTCCAGGGTCAGAACTGTGTCCGTCTACCTGCTGGTGACTTCTCCCTGGACGTCCCGAAGTCAGAATGCCCAAAGCTAACCCTGAGCCTGCCTGGAAGCTGTGCCCTGCACTCTGGGAGCCCAGGAGACCCCTGGACTCTTCTCCTTCCCTCCTCCCCCGTCCAGTCCACACTGAGCCCCATCCTCCACCTGCCGGCTCCTGGACCCTTCCAGAAGACATGCAGCCTCCTCATCTAAGCCCCTCATGTCTATATCTCAGCACCTGCCCCCCATAACAGCCCCAGGGTTCCCTGCTTCTGCCTTCCCCATCCAGTCCGTCCTCCTTCCAGGATGACCCCCAGCCAACCACCCTGTCCCCTGCCTAAAGTGCCCCACTGCCCTCAGGACAGTGTGCAGGTGCCGTAGCCCAGCCTGTGGGGTCTCTGGGTCTTCGCACCCTGTCCCCAGTCCCAGCTCTTGTCACCCCTGCTTGTCACAGTCACATGGAACTTACTTTGGTTTTGAGGTCCCACCTTTGGGCCTTTCACATGCTGTTCCCTCTGCTGGAACCCATCCTGCCTCCTGCCTGGCTGGCCGCTCTGCATCCCTCATCTGTGGCACAGAAGGCTCCTCCTCCAAGAAGCTACCCCACAAGGCAGGAGTAGGATGGGAGTTAGGCATCCCTCCCCGCTGTGCTGCCCTGGCACCCTGAGGCCCTGGGCACCCTCTGGCTCCACGGACATGAAGGGCTGAGCCTCGGGTGCACCCAGCCTCCTGCAGCTTCATTCCTTCCTTGTCCTCCAGCCCGAGGACATCAACTATGCATCGCAGAAGCAGGTGTACCGGGATATTGGCGAGGAGATGCTGCAGCATGCCTTTGAGGGGTACAACGTGTGCATCTTCGCCTACGGGCAGACGGGTGCCGGCAAGTCCTACACCATGATGGGCAAGCAGGAGAAAGACCAGCAGGGCATCATCCCGCAGGCACGAGGCGGGGGGCAGCCAGGGGCAGCCCCGGTGGATGGGGCGGGACAAGCTGAGGCTGAGAACTCCAGGCCAGGCGCCCCTGAGAGCAGCCCCCAGAGAGCAGAGAGTCAGGAGGGGAAGCCCAGCTGGGTCAACGGTGGGGTTGGGGCAGGTGAGAGCCAGATGTGGCCGTGAAGCTGCAGAGCCAGGCCCTAGGTGCGGGAAGCGCCCTGGCCTTGGACAGGGTCCACCTTGATCATGTGCCTAAGACAGCAGCTGGGAGAGCCCTGGCTGGGGCAGCTGATCTCTGAGGGTGTGAGGGCTGGCAGTGTGGGCAGAGAGAGGTGCTCAGGACAGAGGTGACCAAACACCAGGCACAGCAGTTCCTCATTTGCTGCAGGAACCCTGAGTCCCCAGCCATTCCCCTGGGCAGGTCTCTGGACCTGAGTTGGTCACTAGTACTTTGCCTGCTGAGGGAAGGGACGTGGCTGAGATGTCTGTAGGATGGCAGAGCCGGGGGGAGGGGTAGACGACACACAGGAAAGGATCCGATACCAGCCAGGGACCCCTGAGTTAAGAGGGAGACACTGGCTCCTCGGCTACAGACTTTCTCAGTGCCTTTACTGAGTGTGTGGTGAGGGTACAAGAGGGGCCTGAGAGGGTGGCATCCCGCCTGGCACAGGCTGCCCACAGCATCGCAAGGGGCGGGGATCCAGGGAGCAGCCCCAGCCCTCCCTGGCTGACTGTCCCCCCATTCCTGCAGCTCTGCGAGGACCTCTTCTCTCGGATCAACGATACAACCAACGACAACATGTCCTACTCGGTGGAGGTAGGGCCCCCCCGCCTGCTGTTGGCCCCTGGGGCAGGGCTGGGAATCCGGTGTGGCTGGCAGTGCTTTTCTGATGCAAAGTGAGTGCCCACTACGGGTCTGCGCACCCAGCTTGTCCCTCACTCATTCAAGTGGCAGGCAGGACGACAGGCCTGGGCAGGGCTCAAGACCCCCAAAGCACAGAGTGACGAGGTGATCCCCACCTAGCAGGTGCTTCTCCAGCAGCTGCTCTGTGCTGGGGCAGGGACAGGCACCTCAGAGCTCAGGGCCTGGCCATGCCTGCTGTGGCGGGGTGGCCCTGGCATGTGTGTGTCCTAGAGCCCAGGATGGCCGTGGTGAGGGAGGCTGGATTGACACCCCTGCCTCGCACATACACACAGGAGCTGCAGACTGGGAGTCCGCTGCCCAGCAGGTGGCGCCCACCCCCTCACTCAGGGGTCCTGACAGCAGCCCCCACCCCCTCACTCAGGGGTCCTGATGCTGGCCCCTATCCCCTCACTCAGGGGTCCTGATGGCAGCCTCCACCCCCTCACTCAGGGGTCCTGATGGCAGCCCCCACCCCCTCACTCAGGGGTCCTGATGGTGGCCCCTACCCCGTCACTCAGGGGTGCTGATGGCAGCCCCCATCCCCTCACTCGGGGGTCCTGACAGCAGCCCCCATCCCCTCACTCAGGGGTCCTGATGGTGGCCTCCACCCCCTCACTCAGGGGTCCTGACGGCAGCCCCCATCCCCGTCACTCAGGGGCCCAGCAGGCAGCCCCCACCTTCTCACTCAGGGGTCCCCCCAGTGGCAGCCCCCACCCCGTCACTCAGGGGTCCTGATGGCAGCCCCCACCCCCTCACTCAGGGGTCTCCCCAGTGGCAGCCCCCACCCCCTCACTCAGGGGTCCCCCCAGTGGCAGCCGCACTCCCTGGCCTCAGGGGTCCTGAGGGCCCGGCTCTGCCCTGCAGGTCAGCTACATGGAGATTTACTGTGAGCGTGTCCGTGACCTCCTGAACCCCAAGAACAAGGGCAACCTTCGCGTGAGGGAGCACCCACTGCTGGGGCCCTATGTTGAGGACCTCTCCAAGCTGGCTGTCACCTCCTACAATGACATCCAGGACCTCATGGACTCAGGGAACAAGGCCAGGTGTGTGGGGGGACTTGCTGATCCTCCCTGCCCTCCTGTCCCGCCGCCTCTCCCTGGAGGAAGCCCCTTCGCCTCGGTCCTGGCCCTTTTCTGTAGGGTCCATCTGTGCCCCCGTGGAGGCGTGGCCTCCTGAGCCCGAGGTCGTTCAGGCCTGTGCCAGCCTGAGAGAGGACGAGCGCTCCCCCTGTGCAGGGGACACCGTCACCTTCATGGGGCTTCTCCTTCACGGGGGTCTGCGTCCTCCAGCTGAGGCGCCCAGGGGCTGCTAGCAGCATCTGTGGCTGCTGCCTTGGTGGGGCAGCTGTTCTGCCAGTCCCAGGGGTCCAGCTTCTGTGTGGGGGCAGCGTGCTGGGGTTGGGGCATGTGGGGGGGCTGGCTGCACAGTGCTACAGCAATAAGCAACCCGGCTCCTTGGCCTCGGCTGCCCTGGGCCTCCTGCCTGGGATGCCCTGGTTGTCATGGCAACAGACCCCCTCCGCCACCCAGGACTTCCTGAGGGTGAGGTGATGGTCCCTGTCACTCTCAGTTCCTGAGGTTGTGAGTCACACTCTGCGCCATCCTGCACCCCTTCGGTGGCCCCACAAGGGCCAGTGGGTGGGGGTGCTGTTCCTGATGAGGTCCACAGCACACCCTGGCCATCACTGTGACTCCTTGCTGGAGTGGGCCCTGGGCTGCCACATGCCATCCGCTGAGTCTTGGGAGCCTTTCCTGAGGTCCCTGGCAGGTCAGGGTGGCATCAGGACCAACTCCAGGCCACCCTCAGCAGCCTTGGGCTTCCCGTTCTGGAGGACCACCCTGCTGACCCATGACATCTCCTGTGGGGTGTGGCAGGCTCCTTGGCTTCCCAGAGCCATGGGTGTGGGCCGTGGTGGGGTGGACAGTGGACAGCCCCTTCCCCTCCCATATCATGGCCATGGAAGGCTCCTGCCCAGCTGGGCACTGCATGGGCTTCTCTGTGCCCAGGAGTGGGACGCTTCCCCAGCCACTGCTGCCCTGAATACACTAGGCAAGGGCTGGGGCTGAGGATGCCACTGTGGGCAGGTGGCCGTGGGCCTTGCTGGAGTCCTGGCAGGTGGGACCATCAGTGCCAGGACCGGCAGAGTGGCCCCTGGGGTCTGGGGGAGCTGCCCCCCGACGACCTGGTTTGGAGGGCTGGCACCACCGGTGAACTTGCACTCGGCCACAGGACGAGGGGTAACCGTGTGTGGCTTTCTGCTCCTCAGGACCGTGGCGGCCACCAACATGAATGAGACCAGCAGCCGCTCCCACGCTGTCTTCAACATCATTTTCACCCAGAAGCGCCATGATGCAGAGACCAACATCACCACGGAGAAGGTGAGTGAATGGCCTCACAGGCAGTGCCACCGAGGGCAGTGACTGGTGGTCGGGGTGGAGGTGGAGGTCAGGCCGGTGGGGGCAGCACAAGGACATCGGGCCCAATGCTGGCCTGTGCGGGGTGGGCAGTGTCCTCACACTTACACTGGCACCAGGTGTGGACGTCCCCCGCCCTGCCCCAGAGGCCCTTCTCCCGTGCCTTGGTGTTCTCCACGGACCAGGCCAGGGGTCCGTCTTCTGGGGCTTTTGCCTGGATAGCCAGTCCAGGCTTCTAGGAGGGGCAGTGGGAGGGCACCCAGCCTCTCCCTGACCATCTCTGACTCTGCCCCCTGCCCTCGCGCCCCAGCCATCCAGGCCCGGGGGCACCTCAGCCATCTCCCGGTTGGGGGCTCGTTCAGGCAACCGCATGGGGAGCACAAAGGTGCTGAGTGGAGGGAGGGCTGCTCAGTCCCAGATGGTGCTGGAGGTCTGCCAGGCACATCCTCCTGACCGGGACTCCATCAAACAGTGAGCGGGGTCTCAGGATGGCTGAGGTGGGTTGGGGGACAGACAGGGGTGAAGCTGGATGAGGTCCGCCCAACTGCCTGCCCTGCTGCCCTCGCTGGTGGGCACTGAGGGGGTCCTGCGGTGTCTGTGGGCAAGTCCTGCCCTGCAGCTGTGGCTCAGGAGGGGCTGGGCCTCTCGGTGCAGGGCCTCCCACCCCAGGCTGCAGGTGCCCCTGTCGGGAGCCTGGCTGGTGCCCACTTCGCTAGGTGCAGCCATGGCCCGTGAGGTGGCTAAGCAGGGCCAGGGCCTCCTGGAGCTGGGTTCCAATCCCACCACAGACACTGAACACCATTTGTGGAAGTGAGGACAGTGACAGTCGCACCTCATGGGTGCCATGGGGAGCGAGTGTGCCCTTGTGTGAAAAGCGCCTGGCATGTGGTGGCAGCGCCCGTGCTCCCCTGGGGAGGTGGCTATGCACTCATTCGGGCAGGGCGTGGGGAGAGCTAGGACGGAGGTGCAGGCGGAAACTGCGGGGTCAGGACTGCTGGGCCTGGGGAGGGGTGGTGCCTTGTGGAGGGGACGCTTGGCTGGGGCTCCTTCAGCAGCCATGGAGATCTTGCCCAGGGGTCCTGGGACGCCCCCGTGCATCTTGCGGCCTCTCGTGCATGTGACGCGTCTGCTGTTTCAGGTGAGCAAAATTAGCCTGGTGGACCTGGCTGGGAGCGAGCGGGCCGACTCCACAGGAGCCAAGGGCACACGCCTCAAGGTAGGGACCATGCTGCCATGCAGGGACTGCAGTGGGTCCTGTGTCCGCACCTGGCCTGCTCCAGGGTGGACGGCAGGAGGGCTCTGTTGGGGTCCCGGGGGCCTGGGCCACCCTGAGGATGAGCCCGCTCAGGGAGGGTGGGCATAGGCTGGGGTCTTGGGCTGCCAGCAACTGAGGATTGTGCCTTGGCACCAGCACTGGGCACACAGGTCAGGGGCTTGGCGGGATGGTGGCCTCTTTCGGGCCCCAAGGATTTTGCGCCAGAGGCCGGGTCTTCCCTGGGGAGGCCGGGGCACCCCTGGGAAAGCAGTGCCAGGGTCAGGAAGGAGTGTGTTTCCTCGATCCCCGCTGACCTCAGCACCTGATGTTTGGGCAGGGTCCCCGGAAGCGTTTCAGGGGGACATGGGATGGTATCAGGGTTTTCATGGCACTGAGGGCAACACTGGGAGACGTGCTCCCGGCCAGAGGCTCCAGCTGGCTTTCTGCCAGGGGACCCCATGTCTCTGTGGCCCCAGAGAGCAGCAGCAGCGGTGGTGGCCTCCACTCCACACCATACAGGTCCACGCAAGGCGTCCCTCCAGAGCAGGAGTCCCCGGGGTCCCCGGTGTCCCAACCCCACTGTCTTTTCTGCCCACAGGAGGGCGCCAACATCAACAAGTCGCTGACCACCCTGGGCAAGGTCATCTCCGCCCTGGCTGAAATGGTGAGTGGCCCAGCCCGGCTTCTGCAGCCAGACCCCCAGGGGTCTTCGGGGCCCCTATCTTGCCCCTGTCACCCATTTCCAGGCCATGTGTCTGGGAGGTGGCTGGGTTCAAGGGAGAGCCCAGAGATGGCCAGAGTGTCACATGCTGGAGAAGGGGTGGTGGCCCTGGTTTCTCCCGGGACCCTCAGTTTCCCCGCCTGTAAATTGGGGCTGTGGCCACGGTTGGCCCCGTGCAGCAGGCAGCCCTGTCCCCCAGCACCACCAATGGCCTGGGCTAGGGAAGGGCAGCCCTGGGGGGATCCTGCCTCGGGGGAGCTGCTGTCAAGGAGACCACAGGGCGGTAGAGCCTGAGTCACAGCCGGGGCAAGGGAGCTGGGCCACCTGCTCTTCCGCCCCCACAGCCTGCGCCAGCCTCGCTCCAGGCCTCAGCCTCTCTCTGTCTCTTCCTTTTCAGGACTCCGGACCCAACAAGGTAAGTGGCTTCCTTCAGCCCTGGGGCAGGGGCTGGAGGCTGGTGGTGGCGTCTGCACTGCATTGGCGCCCTGTGGTGAGGGGCGGGGTGGGCAGTGAGTGTGCTGGGAGATGGGCGACATGGGGATGGATCCCGGGAAGGAAGAAAACAGGTGTGGGAGGCCCCATGAGGTGCCTTGTCTGCGTGGACACAGGGCGTCTGGGGTGGCCTCATGGCAGGGCCTGGGACGGAGACTGCTGGGAGACACTGAGGTGGGAAAGGGTGGCCTGGGGGGCGTGGGGGCCCTGGGATGAGCTGAGAGGGGCGCGGAGGAGCCCCTCGGGCATGGAGGGGGCTGGGGAGCCATGAGAGGAAGAGGGTGACAGGCGTGCTAGACTCTGAGCAGCCATAGGTGTGACGGGGCCAGGGCAGGGAGATGAGCAGGTGTGGAGTGGGCGGTGCCACGGAGGGTGCCATGTGTGAAGCTGCCTGGGGCGAGGCTGGGGACTGTGTGAGGAACCGCGTGGGCAGCTGTGAAACCGTTCGAGGGACCAGGCAGGAACGGAGTGAGCCAGCGTGGGAATGTGTGAGACAGGGTTAGCGGGCGCCACTGTGAGGAGTCGCGACGTGCTCACTGGGAAACGCACTGGGAACTTGGCAGTGGCTCCCTGGGGACAGAGAACTGTGTGAATTGTGAAGAGCTGTGTGGGCCTGTGTGAGGAGTTCCAAGAGACTAAGAACACATGTGAGGCTGTATGAAGAACTGTGAGAAGGTGTGGGAACTGAGTGGGGAACTGTGGAGAATGGTGTGGGGGACCCGAGTGGGAGCCAGGTGAGGAGCTGAGGGCCGTATGGGGAACTGCGTGAGGAACTGTGTGGGAACGGGAGAGGAAGCGTGTGGGAAATGGCATGAGACACTGCGTGGGACTGTGTGAGACTGAGACCTGTGTGGGGAATTGCGTGTGGAGTGGAGTGAACTGTGAGAAGCTGTGATAACCGTGTGGAACTGTGAGGGAATGGCGTGGAGTGGCGTGGAGCAGCGTGGGGAGGGAGGAGAGAACGATCCGCTGTGCAGATTGTGTGGGACTGTGAGGAACTGTGTGGAACTGCTTGTGGAGTTGTGTGTGGAACTGTGTGTGGAACAGTGTGTGTGGAGTTGTGTGTGTGGAACTGTGTGTGGAACTGTGTGTGTGGAGCTTTGTGTGTGGAGTTGTGTGTGTGGAGCTGTGTGTGGAACTGTGTGTGTGGAGTTGTGTGTGTGGAGCTGTGTGTGGGGAGCTGTGTGTGGGGGGCTGTGTGTGGAACTGTGTGTGTGGAGTTGTGTGTGTGGAGCTGTGTGTGGGGAGCTGTGTGTGGAACTGTGTGTGTGGAGTTGTGTGTGTGGAGCTGTGTGTGTGGAGCTGTGTGTGTGGAGCTGTGTGTAGGAGGCTGTGTGTGGGGAGCTGTGTGTGGAACTGTGTGTGTGGAGTTGTGTGTGTGTGGAGCTGTGTGTAGGGGAGCTGTGTGTGGAGACTGTGTATGTGGAGCTGTGTGTGGGGAGCTGTGTGTGTGGAACTGTGTGGAGCTGTGTATGGGGAACTGTGTGTGGAACTGTGTGTGGAGCTGTGTGTGTGGAGCTGTGTGTGGAGCTGTGTGTGGGGAACTGTGTGTGGAGCTGTGTAAGGGGAACTGTGTGTGTGGAACTGTGTGTGTGGAACTGTGTGTGGAACTGTGTGTGGAGCTGTGTGGGGAGCTGTGTATGTGGAACTGTGTGTGTGTAGAACTGTGTGAGGAGCTGTGTGGGGAGCTGTGTGGGGAGCTGTGTGGGGAGCTGTGTGTGTGGAGCTGTGTGGGGAGCTGTGCATGTGAAACTGTGTGTGCGGAGCTGTGTGTGTGGAGCTGTGTGTGGGCCAGTATTGGGCTGTGTGGGGAACTGTGTGTGGAGCTGTGTGTGGGAACTGTGTGTATTGTGAAACTGTGTGGAACTGTGTGTGGAGGCTGTGTGAGGAGCTGTGTATGTGGAACTGTGTGTGCTTGTAGAACTGTGTGTGGGGAGCTGTGTGGGGAGCTGTGTGGGGAGCTGTGTGTGTGGAGCTGTGTGGGGAGCTGTGCATGAAACTGGTGTGTGGAACTGTGTGTGTGGAGTTGTGTGTGTGGAGCTGTGTGTGTGGAGCTGTGTGTGTGGAGCTGTGTGGGGAGCTGTGCATGTGAAACTGTGTGTGCGGAGCTGTGTGTGTGGAGCTGTGTGTGTGGAACTGTGTGTGTGGAGCTGTGTGTGTAGAACTGTTTGGGGGGCTGTGTGGGGAACTGTGTGTGGAGCTGTGTGTGTGGAGTTGTGTGTGTGGAGCTGTGTGTGTGGAGCTGTGTGTGGGGAGCTGTGTGGGGAACCATAGGAACTGTGTGGGGAGCCTGCAGAGAACTGTGTGGTGAACTATGTCAGAAGCCGGAAGAACCTGTGTGAGGACCAGAGGAAGAAATGCCTCAGGAACCGTGGGGGGAACTTGAGAAACTCTGGGGGCCTGAGCAGAGCTGCGTGAGAACATGAGGAGCTGTGTGTGGCACCGGGAGAGGAAGTGTGTGCCACAGGGTGGGGAGCTACGTGGAATCACGTGAGGGAACCATGCAGAGCTGTCTGTGGAGCTATGGGAGAAGCTCTGTGGGAAAGTATGTGAGGAACCGTGTGAGGAATTGCATGGGGAACTGTGGGAGGATTTGTGAGAAGCTGAATGTGATCGTGTAGGGAAGGCGGGGAACCAGGTGGGAAGCGTTTAGGGAAACCGCTTGGGGGAAGTGTATGCTCATGTGGGTACCCACGTCAGGGCTCTGTGGAGCTGGAGATGCGTGTACTCTGAGGACCTGTGGAAATGGGAGCAGCGGTGTGTGGAGTGGTGTGGGAATTGCGTGAGGGAACGCTGAGGAGCCATGTGGCTGCTCGGGGAGCAGTGGTGAGCTGTGAGAAACTGCGCGGAGCCAGGTAGGCTGCTGCTGGGAAAGGCATGGGGAACCACGTGAACGCTGCGTCAGGGATTTGGGGGATCAGTGGAAATGTGGAGGAAACTGGGGGGAAGTGTGCGGGAATACGGAGGAACTTGCCAGAGCCTGAGAGGAGCCGCGTGAGCCCCCGTCTGAGGTATTGTGAGAGGACCCACTTGAGAAACTGTGTGCAGAACTGTGTGAAACTATGAAAGTGGGTGAAACGGGGCTGTGTGGACCTGTGTGGAATGCTGTGGAGAGCTGTGTGAGAAACGGAAGCACCGTGGGGCATGGGGAGGCCTAAGGGGAAACATGTGGCAGCCTGTGTGCAGAGCCGTGTGGGAAACTGAAGAACTGGGAGGCAGTGCATGTGGCCACGTGAGGAGCCACAGAACCGTGTGAGGAAGTGTGTGAGCCGGTGTGGGGAAGTGCAGGAACTGTGAGGAACTCTGTGGGAACTGTGAGGAACTGAGTGTGGAACTGTGTGGAACTGTGAGGAACTGTGAGGAACTGTGTGGAACTGTGTGGAACTGTGAGAAACTCAGTGTGGAACTGTGTGGAACTGTGAGGAACTGTGTGGAACTGTGAGGAACTGTGAGGAACTGTGTGGAACTGTGTGGAACTGTGAGGAACTATGAGAACTGTGTGGAACTGTGGAACTGTAACAGAAACTCAGTGTGGAGCTTTGTGTGGAACTGTGAACTGTGAGGAACTGTGTGGAACTGTGTGGAACTGCTGAAACTCAGTGTGGAACTGTGTGGAACTGTGAGGAACTGAGTGTGGAACTGTGTGGAACTGTGAGGAACTGTGTGGAAGTGGGAGGATCTGGGTGGGAACTGTGTAGAACTGTGAGAAACTGTGAGAAGCTAAGTGTGAACTGCAGAGTAACTGGGTATTCTGTGGAGACTGAGGTGGAACTGTGAGCAACTCGAGGAACTGGGTGTGGAACTATGAGGAACTGTGGAACTGAATGTGGAACTGTGTGGAACTCAGAGTGTGGAACTGTGACGAACTGAATGTGGAACTATGTGGAACTATGAGGGACTAAGTGTGGAACTGAAGAACTGAGTGTGGAATACGAAGGCAGAGTGTGGAACTGTGTAGAACTCAGTGTGGAACTGTGAGGAACTGAGTGTGGAACTAAGTGTGGAACTGTGAGGAACTGAGTGTGGAACTGTGTGGAACTGTGAGGAACTGAGGGTGGAACTACAACGAACTGGAGTGTGGAACTGTGGGGAACTAGTGTAGAACTGTGAAGAACTGTGAGGAACTGAGTGTGGAACTGTGTAGAACTGTGAGGAACTGACTGTGGAACTCACTATGGAACTGTGTGGGACTGTGAGAAACTGTGAGGGACTAAGTGGAACTGTGAAGAACTGTGTGGAACTGTGAGGAACTGAGTGTGGAACTGTGAAGACTGAGTGTGGAACTGTGAGGAACTGAGTGTGAAACTGTGAGGGACTAAGTGTGGAACTGTGAAGAACTGTGTGGAACTGTGAGGAACTGAGTGTAGAACTGTGAAGAACTGTGTGGAACTGAGTGTGGAACATGGAGACTGTGAGGAACTGAGTGTGGAACTCAGTATGGAACTGTGTGGGCTGAGAAACTGTGAGGGACTAAATTGGAACTGTGAACTGTGTGGAACTGAGGAACTGAGTGTAGAACTGTGAGAACTGTGAGGAACTGAGTGTGGAACTGTGGAACTAGGTATGAACTATATGGAACTATGAGAACTGAGTGTGGAACTGTGTGGAACTAGTGTGGAACTGTGGAACTGTGAGGAACTAGTGTGGAACTCAGTATGGAACTATGTGGGACTGAGAAACTGTGAGGGACTAAGTGTGGAACTGTGAAGAACTGTGTGGAACTGTGAGGAACTGAGTGTGGAACTGTGAGAACTGGAGTGTAGAACTGAGGAACTGTGTGGAACTGAGGAACTGGGTGGGTCCAGTGAAGTGCTGTGGGGGAACCGTGAGGAGCCGTGTGGAATGGCATGTGTGGGAACAGGAGTGAACAGTGAGAATAGCCTGAGGAACTGTGTGGAAAGTGTGCGTGGACTCGCATTAGGG